CCCGGCAAAGGCCGGGCTCTACTGCTAGTATATATATATATATATATATATATATATATATATATATATATATAATTTATTTTCAGAGGATACACTTGGTTGAAGTAAATATTCCATTTTTATTTTTATTTTAAATAGTCTGTAGTAAGTGTATTACGTCTGGGCACTCGAGAAAAAGTTAAAGTGATCTCCAGAAGGTTATCATCTACAAATGACGTTTAAAATAATACAAATTTTGGATTACAAATAAATCCGTGCAAAATTTAGAAATTATGTATGTATGAATGTATGTATTGAATAAATAAATGAATTTATGTTCGGTCAATAAAAACTTTACAAAAGTAGGTCGCTTATTTGGAATCAGAAAGCGACAACTGACATTTCTTGAGCAGATAATGAAAGAAATAAATGTAGAAATTTAACACTCAGAAGACATATTGAATACAATAGAAACAAAGGAAAGTAGCGATTAGACGATCCGTGACTGTGCCAATGGTAGATAATACAGGAATTAGTAGCGAGAGCCAAAATACAAGTGTAACTAAGAGCTGCAAAGGTCAAGAAGTTGTGGAGCACCATAATTACCCACATCCTGATGGAACACTCCATATACAAGAATTAATTAAATAATTTATAATATGTACCTATAGTTCTGGTTCATAATATTTAACACTGTATTTATAACACCCCAGGCATAAATATACATAGATACGTGAAAGTAATTGTGACTGTATGTACACATTTTCCTACCCATTCCTATCTATATATATATATATATATATATATATATATATATATATATATATATATATATATATATATTATGTACCCTATATATATAATTTAAATAAAAACAGACCACTTTAAAATTCCATGTAATAAATTATTTCACCACAGTCCTTTTAAAAGGACTGCGGATCATCAGACTTTACTTCCAAACAAAAAATGAAAAGAAAATTTACACATTTTTGACGGGCCGTATTAAACATATGTAAATTAACGAAGTGAGGAAGTGAGGGGGGGAGAAGACAGAGTGAGTTAGCAGATATTGACACATTTAAACGGTTAACTTAACGAAAGTTATATATTGATATCGAAGGGGTAGAGAAGAAAAAACCAGAGAGAGAAAAAGAGAGAAGGAAGTTAAAAGAGAAGAGAAGATGTCACTAATTTTCTTTGTAAAAAAAAGCTAGAAACAGACGCTGTTATTTTGTTTTACTTTGAAAGTGTTATTTTGGGGCTTCATAAATATTATAATGTTTGATATAAATTTGAAAGTCTCTAAACTGTCTACAAATAATTTAATTTGATGTTTGTTAGTGATTTAATTTTTTTTTAAATTTTGGGTATTTTCTATGAAATAGTCGATTAGAAAAAATATTCATAGAAAGTACATCAAAAGAAGAAAATCTTATTTTAAAATATAAGTTTACTTCTAGTAATCTTTTTTTTTTAAAACTCTTAAAAAATTTTCATTATTGATTATTAAACTGACATCTCTATCCGTTTGAATTTTGTTCATGAATTTAACTCGTGACTGTTTCTAGATAGGTAATCTCTTTTACTTAAATTTTAGTTAAGTTAATATGGGGTAATATTTGAAGGTAATATTAAAGATCTTGCTCTGTCATATACTGCATACACACCTATGCAAATATCACATATACACACGTTCCTTTACATGTTCAATCACTCATATAGGTACCCATGTGCCGATATACACAGGTAACTTCATGTATTAACACCTCCCTAAATATCAAAAATTTTTCCAATTTAAATATTTTATCATCAATAATGATTGTTAAAGGGCAATATATTTCAATTTAAATTAAATTATCAATTTAAAAAAATTTCCTCCATATTATAAAGAATGTTAAAACTCACACTTCCAATTGGAGAATATTAAATGAGAAAATGAGATAAAACGCTAATAACAGGATAGATAGATAGATAGGTAGATAGATAGATAGATAGATAGATAGATATAATATGTATCTGAAATATTCAGGACGGTAGATGTAAATAAATAAAAATAACGTTTAAACTAATAAATAAAAACATGCCGGATTTAATCCATTTCCTAGAACACACACACACACACACACACACACACACACACACACACACACACACACACATATATATATATATATATATATATATATATATATATATCAGTGGCGACTCCGGGAGTCGGGTTTAGTACGAGTGAGTCAAGTATGACAAAAAACATTCTTAGGGTGTCGTTTTCATTCTTGACTTCAGCTCGATCTAAAATTAATTGCATTAAGTCTGATATTGACCGAAATACATTACGTTGATATTGTTCATAATAAGGGAGATAGAAAGAAAGTAAAACAAAAAAAAATGAAGAAAGTAAAAAAAAAATAATGAAATAAAATTAAACTGGCTGGTCATGCAGCGTAAATGTGAGCCCTATCAGGCTGGAGATATACTTAATAGGAAATGCATTTCTTACTTTAATTTGATAAATAATCTTATAAAAATCTCTAATGCCTTGTATGCCAAAGAACACATATTTACTTCAACTCATTGTTTTCAAATGTCCATTTTAAATAAGTTATTCCGTACATTATAAGTTTTTTTTAGCGGAATATATCAATTAAAAAAGAGCAGGGCTTATCGGCGAAAATCAAAGAAATTGGCAGCCTTAACTCGTCGACTAGAGGACGAGGAGCGTCACTGGGTTAGTGTTGAGGAAATATGATATCAGTAAACTATTCCTATCTCTACCATCAATGACTTGATAGTCTATAAAAGAATAAAAAAATGGAAAGGGTGCAATAAACAAACATATCAAATATTTTGTACTCACTCATTTTTCTTACATGTCTGGAAATATTTTAAAAAGATAAATGTTTATTTTTATAGAATTATTACAATTAATATTAAAATAGCAAAATGTGTTTTTTTTTTCTTAATTTCATTCATAGAGATTTTTCAAAATTATATATTTTGGAGCAAATGAATCATTTTAGCATATAAGTATTGTAATGAGCCTGACAAACATTTATATATATATATATATATATATATTTAATTGATTCATTGAGTCTGATAGAAACCTCAACAGGAAATAGAGGAAGCACTGGACGGCCGTTTCGTCCTATAATTGGAACTCATCAGCAGTGCGCATCCACCACCGAGTATCGAAACACTGACAGTTGGGTTATCAAGCAGACAACATACCAACTGTACCAAATGGGTCTCGGTACCGAAGAGATTCATATCAGACTCAACTTATCGCCGCTTGCTCACATATTCCGTGGCGGAACTCGACTGAGTTCGCTATATAACCATAGGACTGTGCCCCCGGGAGCCACGACTACTCTCACCAAGCCGCACCAACTGGAGCATTAGAAGCCGGTTCAAGCGAAGATAAAGACAGATAATAATAAGTAGGAGGATTTGATAATTATATTTAATTGATTCATTGAGTCTGATAGATGTTGTCTGCTTGATAACCCAACTGTCAGGGTTTCGATACTCGGTGGTGGATGCGCACTGCTGATGAGTCCCAATTATAGGACGAAACGGCCGTCCAGAGCTTCCTCTATTTCCTGTTGAGGTTTCTATCAGACTCAATGAATCAATTAAATATAATTATCAAATCCTCCTACTTATTATATATATATATATATATATATATATATATATATATATATATATATATATATATATATTGGAGTATGAGCGTAGGTCAACACTTGCCAGAAAGCATATGAATGTTTGTGTGTGTGCACATATGTGATAATTTTGCTCATTTGTACAGGCGCATGTGTACGGTGCTGGTTTCAAATTACAGTTTCCACCTGCCCAGGGCTCGCCATGTCAGCATCAACAGAAATGCCCATGTTGACCGGCTGTCATTTCTGAATGGCGTTTTCACCTGTCCTTATATGTCAGCTGCTTTAATGCTGGATTCGCCACGACTAGGTTTTTCTGTCCTTCTCACCCATACGTTTCGCAAAATAACACCTACATGTCCAAACATAAAACAACATAAACGCACACATACGCACGCACAAGCACACACAGAGAAATTGTGAACTAGTGAGAAAGTGAGACACGGTGTTAAACTGAATGGAAAACATTCTTTAATCTATCTATCTATCTATCTATCTATCTATCTATCTATCTATCTATCTCAGTCTGCTCATATCTATCTATCTCAGTATGTTCATATCTATCTATCTGCCTCAGTCTGTTCATATCTATCTATCTATCTATCTATCTATCTATCTATCTATCTATCTATCTCAGTCTGTTCATATCTATCTATCTCAGTATGTTCATATCTATCTGCCTCAGTCTGTTCATATCTAATCTATCTATCTATCTATCTATCTATCTATCTATCTATCTATCTATCTATCTATCTCAGTCTGTTCATATTCTATCTATCTCAGTATTTTCATATCTATCTATCTGCCTCAGTCTGTTCATATCTATCTATCTATCTATCCTATCTATCTATCTATCTATCTATCTCAGTCTGTTCATATCTATCTATCTCAGTATGTTCATATCTATCTATCTGCCTCAGTCTGTTCATATCTATCTATCTATCTATCTCTATCTATCTATCTATCTCAGTCTGTTCATATCTATCTATCTCAGTATGTTCATATCTATCTATCTGCCTCAGTCTGTTCATATCTATCTATCTATCTATCTATCTATCTATCTATCTATCTATCTATCTATCTATCTATCTATCACAGTCTGTTCATATCTATCTATCTATCTATCTATCTATCTATCTATCTATCTATCTATCTATCTCAGTCTGTTCATATCTATCTATCTCAGTATGTTCATATCTATCTATCTGCCTCAGTCTGTTCATATCTATCTATCTATCTATCTATCTATCTATCTATCTATCTATCACAGTCTGTTCATATCTATCTATCTATCTATCTATTTATCTATCTATCTATCTTATATATCTCGCTGCGTTAATACAATCATTATAGATTTTTATGAACCCCTCCCTTCTTTACTTTTGTACCGGACTAGATCTATTTCTGTTCTTTTTTATGGAAAATCTCGGTTCTTACGTATCTATCAATCTACCTCGGTTTTTATGTATCTACCAATATATCTCAGTTTGTATGTATCTATCGATCTATATCGGTTTGTATGAATCTATAAATCTGTCTCGGTTTGTATGTATCTATCATTCCATTTCGGTTTGTATCGATCTCGTTTTTTTTATGTATTTATCAGTAAATCTCAGTCTGTATGTATCTATCAATATATCACGGTATATATCCATCTGTCAATCTATCTCGATTTGTATGTATCGATAATATATCTCGGTTCATATGTATCTTTCAAGATATCTCGGTTTTTATGCATCGATCAATCTATATCGTTTTGTATGTATCTATCTATATAACTCGGTTTTTATGTATCTGTCAATTTAATTCAGTTTGTATGTATCTGTAGATAGTGTTACAAATATATACGTATGTGTACACATTCACACATGTAAACCTTCATCTATCAATATATCTGAGTTTGTATGTATCGTTAAATCTATCTCGGTTTTTATGCATCTATCAATATATCTCGGTTTTTATGTAGCTGCCAATCTATCTCAGTTTGTGTGTATCTATAAATTTATCTCGGTTTGTATGTATCTATAACTCTATCTCGGTTTATATGCACCTATCAATCTATCTCGGTTTGTTTGTATCCATCAGTCTATCTCCGTTTTTATGCATCTATCAATCTATCTCGGTTTGTATGTATCTATCAATATATCTCGGTTTGTATGTAGCTGTCAATCTATCTCGGTTTGTATGCATCTATCAATATATCTCGGTTTTATGTAGCTGTCAATGTATCTCAGTTTGTGTGTATCTATAAATTTATCTCGGTTTGTATGTATCTATAACTCTATCTCGGTTTATATGCACCTATCAATCTATCTCGGTTTGTTTGTATCCATCAGTCTATCTCCGTTTTTATGCATCTATCAATCTATCTCGGTTTGTATGTATCTATCAATATATCTCGGTTTGTATGTATCTATAAATCTATCTCGGTTTATATGCACCTATCAATATATCTCGGTTTGTATGTATCTGTCAGTCTATTTCAGTTTGTATGTATCTGTCAACAGTGTTACAAATATGTACATATGTGTACACATACACACATGTAAACCTTCATCTATTCCTGAATACAAAAATGTATCAACATACATACGCATAATGGATCTCGAATTGATTACAAATATCCAGTATATTCATTTACAGTTCTATAAAATTATCTTATATTCCAATTATTGTACAAACGATAAGAATTTTTTGTCTGATCATTTAACGGTATTAGATTAATGATATGACAGTTTTGGTATAAAAGAAACAGACAACAGAAATAAACCAAAACATTAATAAAACATAATGATACTGACAGACCTTCAGCTACTAAATTTTTAGATTATTATATTTATTGCCTATCTAGATAATAAACTGGCAGCGTAATAAGGATCGATCAGATAAGGAAATTACCTATATGGCTTATCTGGGCAAAGCCTACAGGGAAAAACTTTGTGTCGAGTCAGCAGTCAGAGAAAGATAAGCTCCTATGCCAATGAAATACAAGTTCAAATCTAAGTGAAGACTTGTGCTTTATTTTCTAACCACATTTATTATAAGACTTCGTTAGGGTCGTGAGGTGTTTGGACCCGACTTAAGAACAGTTGTTTTTAATATTTAGCGCGTGGAATTTCAGATTGGCCTGATTAGTCAAGATATGTTCTGAATACCTCTGTCAAGTAAATACAAAGAGCTTTTTTGTTTTTTAATATTAGCGTGAATTGTAATAAGTTTTATTTGTTGAACTAAAAATAAAATGAACCTATTTTTGCACGTATGCATTTTTGAACCTTACAAATTCACTTTTCAATAATGGTCTTTTTTATACGTTTTAAGAATAAAAGCCTTTTGCATTTTTTGTTTTATTTATCCTGTGAAAAAACACACGGAACACTGAAACCAATATATAAGAAAATAACGAACTATATGCTATATCCATAATATTGTAAATGGGGTGTTTGAAAACCACCACGGTACTAAGTCAGGAACAATAATGCTCCAAAATACTGATGAAAGATGAACATATTTTTCGCCCCTATTTAAATATATATATATATATATATATATATATATATATATATATGAAAAAAAATAAGACTAAGAGTAAGACTAATGAAATATTAAAGAAGCCAGGTTTAGTATTCACCGTGCGTGAATACCAGACATGGCTTCTTTAATATTTCCCCTTTTCTAGCAAGATTAATCTTCGACAAACATACATATAAGTTTTAGATTAAAATAAAATACTTTTCATTTTTCATTCAAAATACTATATTTTAGGAATATGTTTTCACAAAATCGCCCACGTGACGCCGACGTGATCATATTGAAACGGAACGCTGATCTTGAAAATTTTCAGTTGTCTGTTTTGATTAGTCTTACTCTTATGTCCATCGTCTTTTCATGTTGAATTAAATATAGTCTAATGTTAATTACGTTTCATGAATATGTCCTGAAGATGGTCTACTAGACCGAAACGTCAGACGTTGACATTATATTAACATTAAAACAGCATAATTGCATATTAGGATTTTTGTTTGTTTTTTCCGTATATTTTTCTTCATACTGCCGTATCTATATCCATATATTTGCTTACACACACACACACACACACACACACACACACATATATATATATATATATATATATATATAAGTATTTTAAATAGATATATAAATAGATATATTTTTAAATATATATATATATATATATATATATATATATATATATATCCAAGTAAAATGAGAATAAATGGAGTATAATTCCACTATACTTAACATTTAATTTAAAAGAGAGCTCAGTTGAGAATAGAACTAAATATTATTTATTTTAGGATATTAAAGCAAAGGCATTTTAAAAATTGCTACACAATTAGAATTATGTTTCGACAATTCAAATGTGTATCCCCGGGCAAATTAAGTATTAATTTAATTTCAAAAGCAAGATACTTCATCTTTTTCTAGAAAAAAAAGCACACACACACACACACACAGATTTGAAAATAGGCTTGTGGGCTTTATCGTAATTATCGAATCGAATGTGACCTACGCTAAATTCAAAATCCCGGAAAAATAATTTTTAATATATGTCCTGACATGAATTTGTCTGCATATAAATTCTAGACAATTTCCTCATTACATTATTTCGTAAGATGTCCAGAAGTGTGTCGTTCAAATATCCTAATAGGTAAAAGAGAAAGAGGTAGGGGAATAATTTAACACAATGCTAACATTCATACATAAAATTCTGTAGTTGATAATTAATTTGCCTTTAAGAAACTGGTAGATAACTTAACCGCTTGAAAAAGAAAAAAAACTTTTTGGACAAATTAATATGCAACCGTTAAATAAATAGCATCTATATAAGAAGCGAAAAATACCAATTAATAAATGTAAGATGTTAGTAATACTAACTAAACACCTGTATATCCATATAAGATGTCAATAATACTAAGTAAACATCAAATCACAGTTCATTTGCTGATTATTACTATAAGAAAATTATTTGTCTATATTTCTGAGATGAGGCATTATGTACATTATTTACATTATTCGGACTATTGTCCTCATCTTTGTCGCCATATTTATTACAGTTCGACATTACAGTTCGACATTCCAACCACCTGAAGATGACAGGAGCGTACAACGGCCGAAAGGTTGTAATAAATATGGCGACAAAGATGAGGACAATAGTCCGTATAATGTAAATAATGTAACAAAAGTATTATCAAATTCAAAGTTTAAATATATTGTATGGTAAAAGGTAGACTATGCCTACAATTTATACTCAATTCACTTATTTAGCTTAATAAGGAGTTTTATCGGAAAATCTGATAATTACTAATTTTTCTTGTAAGCATAGAAAACAGGGTTCATTTAAAGATCTACATGTTCTAGCTCTTAATAAACAGAGACACATTTGTAGAGTCGAAAGATAATTGTAATTGTGTTTTTTAACATGTCTTTGTTTTAATATCCTTATATATATATATATATATATATATATATATATATATATATATATATATATATATAATGCTGTTAAGCATGCATGGCGCGCATGGAATTGTTCGTAATAGTGTGACTTTCTACGATTTATTTACATCTATACAGACTTTGGAATAAGTTCTTTGCCAGACTAAAATGATGTTTACATTGACGCGACTTCACATGCGCATGAAGGAAAGGAAACTCAGAGGATTTTATATTTCAATTTTTAGATATATTTCCGATTTCGTTTATTTTTTCCTTTTTCCTTGTGTCGCCATCGCTTTTATTACATATCGCACATCGTGATAATAGAAGCTCTGCCAAGAATAGTGAACTGTTGTAAAAAGCATGCAAATCGGCTGTGGATGATCTAACGATGAAAGCAATTTCTAAACATTTTCGTCGTTGTAAATTGTTTTCTCTTTTAATTAGAGTAACGTTTTTGAATCAAAATTATGATCGGTCACATTTCAGTGAGTAACTAATGAATTTAATGCGTCGTTTTGTAAAATATCCCCTTTGACTTCATATAATCCTTTATCTAAATCCGTTGAGGTATCTCCTACATATTCCTTGTGACAAGTGTTACAGGTGATAGAGAAAATTCCTCTTACAGATTTTAACTTATTTTGTTTTGTATCGCTACACAATTAGAATTATGTCCATCATAAGAAAAGTATTTGTCTATATTTCTGAGATGAAATATTTCTCTATTTCTTTTTTTGTTTTAGAAGTAGTTTTAATATATTTTATATTGAGTTTAAACAAATTATTTTCAGTTGTACTTATGATAGAGTTTGTGGGTAGAAAAATAAATTTTGATTCATTTGGTTTGTGAGGATGAACCACTTTTCTATTTCGAAATATTTTAAGAGCCT